GGGAAGTCAATGAGGAAGATTTCCTGCGTATCATGAAAAAGACCAGCCATTATTAAGAGTATTCTCTCCTGTTGCAAGCACACACAACTAGTTTTAGTGCCTGTTATTGTGTGAAACCTGGTTTTTGAGAACACAAGTGTTTTTTTCCCCACTAACCTCCCTGTATACCTTTAGTAACAACCTCACATCCATTTTCAACTTTTTTAAGTGTTCTTTGACAATATAGTTCTTTGTGAGGTGACCTGCTGCTTCCTTTAATTCTCCAAAACAGAACAAGAGCACATTAGAGCATTTACCCACTTGCCATTCTACCTTGTATTGCTTCACTCTTGTCATGCAGTCTCACATTTATGCCACCATAGAAAGACTTCTCAGACAAATACATGTTGTAACTTTGTCACCACAAACAGCAGGCATCTCTACAATGGTTCTGGTTTTAATTGACACCTAAGTGCAGCTTTCTCTTTTAAAAAATACAGTGAACTCTCTCACTTGCAAAAAAGAAAAAAAAAATCCAATAGTAAAATGAATCACAAACAGGCAAGTGTGAGTGTTTGCTCTTTAACATGCAGATTGAACAGCCCAAACCTCAACAAGTAATTGTTGAGGAAGCTGAGTTAGTTTTCATGAAGTTCAAATGGAAGTGGAATTCCCACTCTTCTTTGCAACTCTGTCTGAATAAATTTGATGATACACATTCCGGTGCTTGTGTCATCACCGATCATCACCACGGAAACATAAACATCTGCTCTAACAAACACTGGAGTGCAGCGTCACTGAATGTGTCAGGGAGGAGAGGAAACTGGCTCAGGATGATAAGGCTCTCCAGAATAAAAGTTCACTCAACTACATTAGCAGTGGCAGCCTCGGTCGTGGAGAGAAATATAAGCATTGCTTTTCAGAAAAGCACAAAGCGGGAGTCATGCATTGCTAAAGGTTGGACAAGGTTGATTTCGAGATGCTGTCCACATTCAAAACCCAGTTTCCTTAAAAAGTCACTATCTATGCTGTCTTGCATGATGACAATAGAAATCCTTCAGGAGCAGGGATCTTGTCTCCCAAACTGCTCACAGAAAATCTCCTGCAGGGCAGAGGAAGGCTAGCGGGGACTGCTGTATGGTTCTGGGAGAGGCCTCGAACAATCAGAAGTAGAACTGACCGTGGTTGTGGTTTGTGTTTATTGTTTGATGAGTCAGTGGCAGTATTAGTTATGTAGTTGCAGAAATTAATAACTAAACGATGGTTCTTGGCCCTGCATGGATTTATAGAAGTTGCACATGGGTGAGTCAGATCATGGACTGAATCCAGGGCTGAGGTATGTTTAGGTTTAGTTTGTATGGTGCTTAAAGAAATCATATATTTGTTGCTTTACAATGAAAAGTAATGAAATTTTATATGAAAATCTGGATTTACAAATTCTGTTTGTATTCAGAAGATCTGGTAGTACTAGACCCATATTCTCAAATGACAACAATTCGATCAAACTAAGGACTTATGTTCCTTTTAGATGAGGCATATACTCTGGTTAGCCACAGTCCCTGCCTCTCCCATGGTATTGCCCCTAGCCAATTTTACTTACCTTCCTGCCTGGCCCTATGAGCATTTGATTTTGTGATCATTGGTGGTGGTATTAGAGAGTAATTATTTCTAGCAAAGTTCTTGGCATATGGAGGGCACCCTATAAATGGTAGCTCTGATTATTCTTTGTCAATTACAGGCTCAGGTATTTAAACTTGATCCTCAGGTTAGCACTGTCCAATAGAATTTCCAGTAATGATGGAAATGTTCTATCTCTGTTCTGCCCAACATGATAGTCACAAGTCGCATGTAGCTATTAGCCACTTAAAATGTGGCTAGTATGACTAAAAAAATAGTTTCTTTTTTAAAAAGTTTAATTAATTGAAAATTAGATTTTAATAGCCACATGTGGCAAGTGGCTACTGTATTGGGCAAAGCAGATGTAAGTAATGGGATTGAACATCCAGTCAGGCATCCTTGTTTAGAATAAAATGTGGAGAATAGACACTGGGGCTGTGTGTGGGGGCATGTTCATTTTACAAGAGATTACTTTCTAGTGGGCTTCATCACACAGCATCACCTCCTTTCAGAAAGGAAACCTCCCCTTATTACCCAACTAGAATTTTTGTCGATTTAAGGAGCCAAAGCTATGTGTTTTCAAGATGTTGACTGTCCATTCCTACCAATAAGAACAAGTCATCTGAAGCGTGAACGGGAAGGTTTGCTGCTGTCCAATTAAGAGTCCTGACTGTCTGCCGGGAGCCGGTCCATCCTTGCTGCTTGACACAGTCGCTGTAGAGAAGAAACATCTGCACAGCATATGTTTCAAGGGACCTGGCGTATATGGCATACCGTTCTTAATATGTTTGCTCCCCTTCTTCCTTAACTAAGTGCCAGGCGGGTAGTTAATCACTTTAACTACAAACAATCACGCTTAAGCTACATAATCTTTACTCCCTGGAATGGAGATAAGAAACACCCTAACCTTTGGAATAGAAATTGATAGGATTAAAATCAACTGGTATAAATACAGATGTAACAAGACAACAGAACACAGAACCTAGAAACAGAACCTAGCGAGAGAACTTGGCTGAAGAACCTGGATAGAACCTGGAGAACCTAGGGACAGAACCTAGTGACAGAACCTAGAGACAGAACCTAGGGAGAGAACATGGCAAAAGAACCTGGACAGAACCTGGCTATAGAACTTGGCTGGAGAACTTGACCAGAACTTGGCTGGATCCTAACCAGAACTTCGCTGGAGGTCCTGACCAGAACTTGGCTGGAGATCCTGGCTAGGCTGCTGGCTGATCAACGGCTGTCTCCGTGTCATTCCTTCTTCGCCGACTCTGTCCACACCTTTGGGGACCCCTGGACCTGCTGGGGTTGGACCCCAACAACTGTCCAGTTAAGAGTACTGCATAAATGTAGTAACTAGACCTGTGGGTGGGAAAGCCTAACTTTTTTGATGAGCTGCTTGATTGACCCTGTCATTCATGAGAGCATAGAGCCCAGAGCCAGTGCTGCCAAGGGGACTGTGGAAAGGCAATGGAGGCCTGCTGACTGCTAGAGGGATCCGATATTCCTAGAGCCAGGGCTCCGTGGGCTGCCTGCCGTCTCTGCGGTTTCCACCACAAGCACACATTGATCACATCGAATGATCACATTGCCATATACCAGCTACAAAGTAGGATTCTCAAAGATCCCTCTTTCATGCAACTTACTTATTTGCATGTTGTTTGCCCAAAAGTTTCTGACACTGACCTGCTTTGCTGAGCCCAGCAGTCAGAACCCTCCCTTCCTTCGTCACAGGTTTGGAAACCCCAGAACCATTTACCAGACTTCGGTCTATTGGTAACTTACCAGTCTCTGTTCTGAAACTTGCCCTACCAGTGGTTCTCAACCTTCCTAATGCCGCAACCCTGTAATACAGTTCTTCATGTTGTGGTGACACCCAACCATAAAATTATTTTTGTTGCTACTTCATAACTGTAATTTTGCTACTGTTATGAATCGTAATGTAAATATCTGATATGCAGGATGTATTTTCAGGGGTCGCGACCCATAGGTTGCTGCTCCAACTTGTCTAGCTAATAAATAACTTCACTGCTTCTAGGGATTTATGCACAGGAGGGTAAAACTAACATTAGCCTGTTTCATTCAAGATGAAGCTCTGAATTATATCCCTCCTCCCCCCCAAAAAAAGGCCTCTCTAAAAACAGAGAAAACCCTGTTTCCCATTTTTTCACTTCTCACAGGAATCTACTTTACAACAGAATTTGAGCAGTCTTCCAAAGTGCTAATCCTAGCCTACATTCTCACTAGCGGTGAAGAACTCTTATGATGCTGCATGTCTTTGCCAATATTGGTACTGTCAGACTTTAATTTTTTCCAATATGATGGGTGTATGATGATGTCACAATATGGCTTTAAGGTTAAACTATTGTTTAATGGAAAATATAACAGATGTACAGAACATTACATGAACTTATAGTTTAAAAAACACTTACAAAGCAAACACTCAAGAAATCAGGACCCAAAACAAAAAATAAAGCATATCTCCTAAAGTCCCTCCAACCCCTACTCCAAGGCCATGTGTTCCTTCCTGATCTCAAAACCTTCCCTCTCCTACAGGTAATCACTATTTGAAATATTGCAATTGTTTCCTTGCTTTTAAAAATAAATAAATATATATATATTATTTCAGAGAGGAAAGGAGACAGAGAGACAGAAGTAGAAATATCAATGATGAGAATCATTGACTGGCTGCCTCCTGCATGCCCCACACAAGGATCGAGCTTCAAACCCGGGCATATGCCCTAACCAAGAATTGAACCATGACCTCCTGGTTCATAGGTTAACACTCAACCACTGAACCACCAAGACGGGCTGTTTCCTTGCTTTTTTAATGACCTTGATAAAAGGACTAAGGGGAGGATTTGCCTTATGTGATATATGTAGGAATTCCACATACAGGAGAGCTTCAGAAACAGAAAAGGAAAATGAGAAATAAAAAACATTATGAGCTAAGGATGAGGTCAGGGACCAGGGGCTTCAGAGGGGAGGAAGGTCATTCATAGACCATAAGGAGCAGGTATTCAGTAATTCGCTATTTGTCCTGCAAACCTATGTTTGCATCCCAAATTTTATGTATAATTTTATTTTAGAACATCGTGAAAATGGAACCATATTGTCCATAGGCTTTTGCGTTGTCTTTCCCTCAACAATGTGTTTATGTGATCCACTCATGCTGTTGTATATCCCTGTAGATTGTTCTTATTACTCAAAGTTTTCCTGGGAGTAGATATGCCTCAAATTATTTGTTCATTCTATTTTTAGATGAGCATTTAATCTTGTTTTAGTTATCATGAACAATGCCGTACTGGACATTCTTTTACATGAATCCCAGTGCACACTTCTCTGAAGTATATTTCTGAGAGTGGAATTACTGGGTCAAAGGGTACATACCTTTTTTAAAAAATTTTTTTTATTGACTTCAGAGAGGAAGGGAGAGGGAGAAAGACAGATAGAAATATCAATGATGACAGAGAATCATTGACCAGCTGCCTCCTGCACGCCCCACAGTGGGGCTCGAGCCCAGCAACCCAGCCAGGCATTTGCCCTGACCAGGAATGGAATCGTGACCTTCTGATACATAGGTTAACACTCAACCACTGAGCCACACCAGCCAGGCAAGGGTACATAACTTTTGAATCTTATTAAATAATGCCTGTTTTCTGAGATATCTACCAACAGTGTGTAAGAATTCTTATTCCACATCCTCATCGACACTTGATATTGTGTGTGTGTGTGTGTGTGTGTGTGTGTGTGTACTGGTAAGGATACAATGGCATCTCAGCATGGTTTTCTCTGCATATCCCTCATTACTTGGAAGTTAAATAAAAACCTTTTCTTTTGTTTATGAACCATTAAAACTGGGACAATCAAGCCCCTTAGGGTTCATGAGAAACTTACCTCTTCTTTAAAGAATTTAAATTAGGAGCCTTGCCCATAATAAGCATTATTATTAAAAAAACAACAAACCTTTTTGCTGTATAGGACAAAGCAAATCTCCTATACAT